TCTGGGAGCAGGGTTGGAGTTACTTCTGGTTGAGATATCGTCAAATAAGGGCATGAAAAGTGTATGAGGTGGAGACTAGAATTGAGAAGGTGTGGGTTTATGGTTGGGATGATGAGCTAATGAGGGAATTGCAGTTAGTTGAGAGAGAGTGAGAGATAGGCGTTTGCTCCATCGGCCGTTGTATTTTCGATTTAGATACACAAACTTTATTTCCATACTAATTTCAATTAATTTCACGTTCTTATTCCCCGTCATACAAACAAAACGGCCGATGGAGCAAAGGCCTAGTGAGAGAAAGTTGGAGAGAAATTGAAGCGGCGCAATTGGATAGATACAGAGGAAGCGGTGCAATTAGCTTGCGTCAGCTGATGTCGCGTGCCCCCCTTTTTCAGTGTTCGATTTCCCTGCTGTTCCCGGCCCACGAAGGCCAAAGAAACACACTTTGATCGCAAGCAACTTCGAGACGCGCACACCCACGACCCCACTGGCACATCTACACCCATATCTACGCGCGATAGGCCACCGCCGGCCGATTCCACGTCGCTGGCACCGAAGGAGGGGCGACGCGGTTAGCGCACCGCTTACGGTGTGTTCTTCCCATAGCACAGAGAGGTGAGGGGGGGGTTGGCACTCGGACCACACGGGTGGTGGTGGTTCTAAGGGTGGTGGGATGGATGAGTGGTCGACGGTAGGAGATGAGTCGGCGGCTAAAGCGATGTCAGTGAAGGGGAAGTGTTGACAGAGAGACCTCGGGAGGAAGGGAAAAAGAGGTCGGGTAGAGACGTCGAAGCTGGAGACTATCGCCAGACAAGGGAAGTGCTATCTCAGAGTGTACAGCAGACATCCGAGGATGTACAACGGACAGAGGCTGAGCTCTCTAGGGGAAAGGGTGGAAGACCTGAGGGCAAGGGGGGTTATGAGGATATGGCGCACGCTGGGGGGGGAAGTGTGTTGCAAAAGGGTGGAACGGCGGTGGGTGACTTGGAACAAGGTGTGTCTTCAAGTCTAGCAAAAGGGCTGACGCAGATCGCGGGAGATCGGGGCAGAGACTTGTGGGAGAGTCATCTGTCTGCGAGTCGGGAAAGGAGTCTGACGAGAGGCTCGGGGGCAGGGGCAAGGCGCCTCAGCGCAGATCAGAGGATGGCAATGGAGGCAATGGCAACGCCAGGGTTGCAGGTGATAGCGCCGGGAGGTAAGAGGGGTGGGGAGGACTACTACTCACGCCGAACAAGTTAACTGCGCAGAAACAGAAGGTCACACACAACTGACGCGGGTTATTTTATTTCTCGTACGTCAGGTGATGGGGGAGACCAGGGCCCGTGAAGGATGAAGACACTCGCAAGAGGGGGCTGATGCCCAGATGGAGGAGGATGGTGGAGGGGGCAGTGCCTCGGACGAGGGTGGGGGAGGGGACGGAGAATCCCTAGGTGGGGAGCCATCGGATGTGGGGAAGGTGAGAGACACATCGAGTGCGATCCTTGACTTGTTACATTCGCATTTTGGGGGTGATGTGGAGGCTCTCCAAAGTCTGGTGTCCAACATGCGGGAAGGTGGAAGAAAGGAACCAGAGTCAGACGCAGAAATCGCAATCTGTCTGAGTGGGGAGGAGAAGGCAAGAGTGTTGAGGGAACAGCAACAACAAGTGGCTAGTGCGAAACTGACAAGGGAGATGGAAGCACGTTTAAAGCAGCGAACAGCTATGTGCCACCCACAAAACCTGAACTTGAATCCAGCTGGGACGGAGACGAATCTAGTCAGCTTGTATCCAGAAACTCTGAGACGGTGTCGGGTCGATCAGTGTTGGCGGGAAATCGCTTCGAGTCGTTGGTCGAAGGCAGTGAGGATGACCAGTTTCCTCCGTTGCCATCCATGCAACGCGTAGCCAACCCATGGCAGGTGGTGGGACAGAAGGCAGGGTCAAAGAAGAAGAGGTTGGACCCACCCTCCCCTCAAATCTCTATCCCTCTCCAAATGGTGGCTTTGGCTGAGAAACACCATGAGGAGCAGCGAAGGGCTTTTGAGAAAAGTAGACTTGAGCTTGACGGGGTAAAGCGCGAGTTCAAAGAGCAGAAGGGCACTGTGTCTAACCTTGAGAAGAAATGGGAAAAGGTACAGAAGGACCCGGAAATCAAGCGGTTAACCACAGATATCACAAAACTTGCGCAGAAAGAGGAAGAGGCCAAGAAGAAAGTGAAGGAGGCAGAGTGGAAGAAAGCTCATTATGAGCGAGAGGTACAAAAGGAGAAAACAAACCTCGAAGGCGTTAAGATCGAACAAGAAGCCAACGAGCAGGAACGTTCCGACCGGAAGAAAAGGAATAGTGGGGCAAGGGTGAAAAAAAAACTTGACAAAGCGCAGAAAGAACTAGAGCGTTTGAGGGAGAAATTCGGTGCGGCGAATTACGCCAATATGGGACACAGAAAGGACTCAGAAGCTGCGCGAAGTGCTCTGCTCACTGCCCAAAAGGCGGCTAGGATTGAGAGCATACCCATGCCGGCGCCACCTACCAAAAAGACAAAGGTCAAGAAGGCCCAGACAAAGCTCTCGAAGCAGGAGGAAGGGGAGAGGGCAAAGGGAGGAGGAAGAGAAAGGTCAAGGAAGGGGGATGAGACCAAGGTGAAAGGGACAAGGGTGACAGGGGGTACGGGGTCCATTATTCCCAAGATAGTGCTGGCCACTCCAGAAAACCCGAAAGACAGCGTGTCCAAGGATATTCTGGCATTATACCCTGGTCTAGATGGTAAGGCACTCGCAGATAAGGTGAAAGCGAAGGAAAAGAGAGCTTCATTTGATGAGGCAATGAGGCAGAAGGAAGGGGCGGGGTATCCCTCTAGCCGGGAAAGTGTGTCGAGTGCTTCTTCCTCCCAACAGGGAAGGGGGTGGGGGAAAGGCCAGGGACCAGGTCGGGCGGGGACTGTCTGGTTTTGGTACTCTTTCATCATCTAGTTCCTCTCCGAGAGGGAGCCGAGGGGGCGGGTGGCACAAGTCAGGAAGGGGATCCCCGAGGAGGAACGGTTTCCAGGGTGGAGGTAGAGGCAACCAAGGAGGTAGAGGCAACCAAGGAGGTAGAGGTATGCCAAGGGATTCGAGGGGTGGTGGTCGAGGAGGACAGGGTACTAGTCAGAGTGAGGGCATGGAGGAAAGGGCAAATGTCCACCAAGGGCAGCACCACCATGACTGGCAGGCACCACCGCCCCAGCAGTGGTAGACGCAGCAGCAGCCACAGCAGCAGCAGCAGTGGCAGCAGCCACCGCCGCAGATGCAGGCGTCACAGCCGTACTGGTTACAGGGAGGGGGGGGGGNACACTGGAAGGTGGGTGGGAGATGACAGGGGGGGTAACGTGTCTGTCAAGGAGGAAGTGAAGGAGGAGGAGGTCTTGAGGGAAGAAAAGACTACACCCGTTGACAAGATCAAAACAGAGTTCAAGGCAGAGTTGTCGAATAAAGAGAAAGAAATCGAAACTCTGAAGCAGAAGTTGGCTGAAATAGGAGGTCAGTTCAGACAGCTGAGCCTCCAGGACACAGACGAAAAACTTCAACCATGTGCAACGGCGGTCGCATCTGAACATAGTGTGGCTGCAAGGGAGGTGGCGCCTGTCAAACAAGAGCAGGAAGATGATGTGTCTCACTCAGCGACGGTAGCGATGGTTAAGAAAGAACCGGAGAGTGTCACGATCCAGCCGCTGACCTCGAGGGAGAAACAAAAGATCATGACGGGTTACGTGACGATGAACATGAAGGATTGGACTAAGCTTCCTTGGATATTACTTTTGATGCGCCGGGAGAGTTGGTTTATTTCAACAGGAGGTTGGAAGATACGTTCAACGATGTGTATTTGACGGTGGGGGATTACAGTGGATGGTGGGTGCCGGGATGGGAAAAACCTGTGTACAGACATCTGATCACTTCCATCACCCGATCCATGTCACCTGCCCAGACAATGACGTTCCGCGAGAAGATAGACAAGGTCTTTGCGGATACGTCAAAGAAGATGGAAGAAGGGTCGACGGGTAGGGAGGCGTTGACATTCTCGACGTCGGCGTTTGGGAGGGTGGTGAGTTCATCCTCGCCCGAGAAGTTGGTGTACGACTTGCAGACCTTTGCGGTACCGACTGGAACGCCGTATAGTGAATATTTGACTACCTGGCAGGGGTTGGTGCACAATGTTGGGAATTGTGACGCCGCAAGATAACACAATTCAACCGGCAGTCAGAGAGAGTGTGTCCGATCAATACAGTGTTCTGACCGCTTCTGTGTTTAAGGGCAAGGAGTTGAGAGTGATGCCGTTCGATAACATCGACACCTTGATGCATGAACTGGGAAATTTCAAGGCGGTGAAGGGGGGGGCAACGACTCCGACACGGAGGATGGCTCAGGCGAAGGGTTCCTCTGGGGGAAGGCAGGGACAGAGAGGGGATGGAGGAGGAAGGACAGGGTCAGGGGGAACGAATACCTTTCAGTCCGCGTCTCCTGGCAGGTAAGATGGGGGATATGGGGGGAGGACGGTAATGACGGTGGAGGACGTGGAATACGAGGACGAACGTACAGAGCTTAAGAGAGTCGATGATATCCATGCGTCGCCTCGCACGCACAGCCAAGTGAATGATTGCCCTTTCTTCGCATGGTTTACGTCTGTCGAGGAAAAGTATAGGCAAAGGAGGGCGTTTGGGTCAAGGTGTTTGAACTGTGGTAGTTAGGGACACTCTGTGCGGGATTGTGACAAGGGTTACATTAACGCCTAAAGTATGTTGAACCGAAATTTGGCAAACGAGTCCAAGGCCGAAGTCAAGGCAAGATGGGATCGGTGGTTAAATCGTCTGAAACAATGGCAAGCACATCGTATGGAGGAGAGGAGGAGGGAGAGGAATAACTGACGGTGAGCGGTCAGTTGGCCAGCGTGCCGGTAGCACCTTGGCCGAATTGCTTTGTGGGTGATCAAGCAGAGAGAGAAGAGAAAAAGGAGGACGATGTGAAGGGTGAAAGGGGTGAACGTTATTGCGATGACGAAAAAAAATCTCGTGGTGAAGGTGCAGGGTGAAAGGGATGAAAGGTATTGCGATGACGGAAAGAAATCTCGCGGGGTGGAGGTGAAGGATGAAAGGGGTGAAAGGCATTGCGAGAACGAAAAGGAATCTCGCGGACAGATGGGAAGAAAGCAGAGCCAAGGACCGGGATCAAAACAAACTATCGGAGGGGCTGGGGTAAAGGGAAACCAATCATCACGCGAGAACATCGAAGACGACCCGGAGGGTGGGATTGTAGAGGAGGAGGCGGGCCGATCGGTGGTGCACAACACCGAGGGTGATGGCCTGGCGACGGGGAGCGTCTCGTCCAACCACGGTAAGCGACGTTTGTCAGTATATAAGGAGTATTTCAAGCAGGGTGGAAGTAATTATCCCAACTGCAAGTGGTTTCGGGTGCTGATAAATTGAACTGCACGGGTGTGGGCCGTGGGAGCAGGAATGTATTGGGGAGTAGGCCCCCGAATTCTTGATCGTAGTGCGTCGCAAGATGCACGTGCACAGCTTCAGGAAAGAATCACTAGTAAGGCACACAGGGAATTTCCAAAAGTAGGGGTGCCGAGGACGCCCCCTTCGTCAGATCAGACGGAGTCTAGCATCGGCACAATGGGAAATGTTAATGACAATGCAAAACCAGTGGGAAATGCGTCGAACACTCAAAGGAAGGAAATACGCAAGACAAATTCTCTAAGAGCAGTGAGGTGTCTGCTCGATCCTCAAGCGGAGCACACTGTTGGTCGAAATGGTGCCAAAAGGGGGTCGATTAATAGGGACACTAGAACGAGAAAAAGCGTCACCGTTGATCGTGCTGGGGGCAAGCAGAACCATGAAACTGTTGAATTACCAGTGATAGGAGAAGAGGGCGTGATAGGGGATGCATCCGCCTCTAAAATTTTCTCAAGCGTCAGGTTGAGGTAACAACGCAGGACAAAGGAAATTTTGGTGAACTACAGGAAGGAACAGATCGCATTTTTGCCATACAAGTATCTGTTACTTCTGTGTCAGGACAAAGGGGCGATGCGGTGTACCCTCCGCCTCCTTTTACGTTTGCTGCAGGTGAAGCGGCGGACTACCTGTCACCATTTACTCGGTCGGTCGGTGGGGATTTGACGATGGATCGACATCGGCATACGACTAGAGTGCAAGTGTTCGCGGGGTCAAGAGCGACCAAGATGATGCCGTGGGAGGCTCTGTTGGATACCGGAAGTCCGGCATCGTTTGTACAAGAAAGGTGGCGTTCAGGCGGTTGTGGCAGAGGATGCCTCCGCACATTCGAGACGTCCATTTCAACTTCAATGCGAAACTGTGGGAGCCGGAGGACATTGACAAACTAGGGACGGGGCAGAACATGTGCGCGACCTGGAGAGATTTTTCGAGCGCATGGTCAAGTTCAACCTGAAACTGCCACCCAACAAGACGAATCTGGGGGTGAAGGTGGTGACGTTCTTGGGACATCAAGTCACGGCGGAAGAGATAGGGCCGGACCCGAGAAAGGTGCGAGCGTGGTGCCATCTTCGCGATTGGGTCCGGTATATACCAAGCGAGAGGCGCTCGCTGGGTCGAACCATCGCGATGGTTTTGTGGTGGGGGGAAGTGGCTGTACATCGGCAAGCTTCACTACGGATGAACTGGCAGGCAAGACGTGGGCGCTGATCCAAAGGGGAAAGGGCGTGTCTATCCCTTTGCCTGATGGTTCGTGTGTGCCTGATGACACCCGGTTGGTGGAACCGAGTGGGGAAGTAGTCAGTGGTTAGTTTGAGCCAGGGCTGATATCACATGCTGTTCCTTCAACGGAAGTTGGCAGACGCTTGTTAGGATTGGTAGAAAAACCGCGAGTGTTTGCTTTTTCTCAAGGAGGGGGCAGTGCCCCTGGCGATGGTGGTGGTTGTAGCAGTAACTCTCGTGGCAGTGCCTCTGGCGATGATGGTGGTAGTAGCAGTAACGCTCGTGGAAGTGGGGCTATTGCTGGTGGTGGGGGTGGCAGTAATGCTCGTAGTAGCAGGGCTGTTGCGCGTGGAAGGGGTCGAGGTGGTGCGGCTCGAGCAAGAGGGGCTACTGGTGGTGGCAGGGGAAGGGGTTCCGGGGGCAGAGGTCCGGCAGCCCCCCCGTTGCCTCAAATTCCGTTGCTAGAGTATGATGAAGAACAGACGCAAGCGGCAATTGAATTTGGGGAGAGTTTATGTGATAAGACGGCTAGTGATTGGGCGGACATTCAGCAGGAAGACGATACGGGACGATTAACAATTACGGCCATTGAAGGGCATGCTGATCCAAATAGGATGGAGAAGGGTGATATTCCGGAAAATGTAGACGAAGATTTTGATGAGTTGAAGCGGTTGGTGGCACAGGGTACTTTGTTGGTGTTGCCGAATTCGAAGCATTTGTTGGTGGGGAAAGAATCTAAAGCCCCTGCGGAAAATCCAAATCGAAATCCAGGGCAATTTGAGAGGTTCATTGGTGAAGCGCCCGTTCGGACGTATGTGCCGAGGATGTTGAAACCGTGAGTCATGGATGGCGCTAAGTGTACGTGCGAGCACGAAGTAGAGTTGGAGCAATATGGGGACGTGGTACTCAATCAAGTATTGGAATGAGCAGTCGGAAAGATCGGCAGGAGGGAACATTAGGTATCGGGGNGGCACAGGGTACTTTGTTGGTGTTGCCGAATTCGAAGCATTTGTTGGTGGGGAAAGAATCTAAAGCCCCTGCGGAAAATCCAAATCGAAATCCAGGGCAATTTGAGAGGTTCATTGGTGAAGCGCCCGTTCGGACGTATGTGCCGAGGATGTTGAAACCGTGAGTCATGGATGGCGCTAAGTGTACGTGCGAGCACGAAGTAGAGTTGGAGCAATATGGGGACGTGGTACTCAATCAAGTATTGGAATGAGCAGTCGGAAAGATCGGCAGGAGGGAACATTAGGTATCGGGGGTATCGTATTCAGGGTGCGAAAAGGACGATTGCTAGCAGGAAGGGAGAAAGACACGTGCAGAGAGATTACAAACTTTGTTGTGACATACGGGGTAGGCCGAGTCTTCGAAGTTTGGCGATGATTGGTGCATATTCATATTGTAAGACTGCAAGGACTGGTTGGCATGTTGCGAAGGTGGTGCAGGTGACTCTAGATCCGAGGTGGGAAGGAGGCATCCAGTATACTATCAAGCTTGTGGACATCGGCAAAACACCAATGTAGCGCTTCTGGAGAAGAATCTGACGGCGGACAATTCTGGTACTAAATCCAGGAACGAACGTGGTGCTGGCATGCACACCGAACGGCGGAAAGTGTCAAGTAGTACATGTTTGAGTTGGAAGATGATGAGGTGTTTGAATTTGAAGTGCGTAGGACTGCGGAAAAGTGTGCCAAGTGGTGCAGTCGAATACGGGTCAAAATTTATGGGATGTTTTTGAAGTGCGTAGGACTGCGGAAAAGTGTGCCAAGTGTTGCAGTCGAATACGGGTCAAAATTTATGGGATGTTTTTGAAGTTCGTAGGGCTGCGGAAAAGTGTGCCAAGACTTGACGTGGTGCAGTCGAATACGGATCAAATTTTATGTGATGTTTTTGAATTGCGTAGGACTGCGGAAAAGTGTGCCACGTGGTGTAGTCGAATACGGGTCAAAACTGTTGTTGTGTTTGAGCAATTGTTGTTTTGGCTAAAGAATGTACCTTGTGACGGAGCCATATTGCAGTGGCATCACGGTCGTGACGGAATTGGAGTGTTTGTGTATTGCATGGGTTGCTTTCTGGTGCGCAGGTGGCCAGTGGGCACGGTTGTACGGGGGCGTTGTGTAACCTCCGGCCAACGAGGGGTTATTGCATGGGATAACGTGGGGGGGTTCCAGGCCGAGCGGGCATAACGTGCCGGGTTATGAAAGCGATTATGCGCGGATTGGTGTGAAGGAGGAGAAAAGAAAAAAGTGTGTGTGAGCTTTCCCCTCCCTTCCGTTCTTTGTATTCCACTCTACCGTTAGGTTTATCAAGCGATATATCGATCGGCAGACAAATTTCCTCTCTTTCGAGATGACTAGCGCGGGAACATCACACAACTCGGAGGGGATCGAACCAGAAGAATGTGTCTACAAAGCCTAACAGTGTACTGCTACGCTATATGTTGAAGAATATCACCAAATACTCGTTAATTCCATGAGTCTATAGTGATGGCGGGGTGTACTCATAGTCGTGCATGCCGTAGTCCTCAGACTATTGACCTCGCATCCCTACAAAGCCGGGACGGAGCACGCCGGGTTCTCACCGGACCAGGCTCTCACATCACCAAGCGCGAAGCGCCTTGAGACATTCGGCGAGTCGCATGAAGGGTGCGCTGCATCCTGCTAAGGGNTTTGCGCGGAGTGAGGGTTCTCGACCCCGCACAACATGATCCACTCGACCACCATTCATTATGGTTACCGCCAAAAAAAGCAGAGGTACAAAAAAACGGTAACTAACCTGGTTGCCGAGTTCACGAAATGAATTGGCT